CCCCCCCCCCCCCCCCCCCGCCCCCCCCGCGAATGCCTCATCCCTGCCCTTCCCCCTCCGGCGGGTGGTGGGTGGCACGATAGCTGATGGGTGACATGAGGGCCTGGACGGAAACGCTGGAGCTTAAGCTACGCTCAGTAAAGGCGGAGCTTGAGCACTCGAAGGTACGAGGACTCTGGGAATCATTAGTGCATGTGCAGGATGCCTATGGGTGATACGGCCCTGCTCTCTCTTTATACCATTTTTTTTGCATGTTTTCACTTCAAAACAGTGCTCACAGCGTTTGTGCCATTTATGCTGCAACCCTTGATTGGCGATATCAATAGTTGAAGGTGTGGGCATATGGGTGAGGATAACACTTAATTTTTTTTCTGATGACCGCACAGTTTGCGAGGTGGAGTTCCGAAACAGCGTTGACTTTGGCGACCCTGCGAATTCAAAGAAAGCCCTAATTTGTTTCCACGACTCACTTTGGGTTATGCTGTGAGAATGATAAGTTCTTTTGTTTAGGAGTGTACGGACAGGAGGCACCAGTTTATTGTCAAGAGCACGTTCCCTTTTCCGCGAAAACAATACCAATAGCTGTATCATTCGACTCTTGTAGAAGTACATATAGTATCTCGACCATGTCCCGTCAGTTTCACGGGAGCATACTCTACTCTGCTTTCCCCTTTCGTCGTTTTGGCGTGGTGTGCTGGTGTTGACAGGGGTGCATGGTAGCGTGGCAACGGTTAAACGACGAAGATGCAGAAGACCGATGAGGAGAAGCGGACGATGAGGCCGCAAAGCTTTTCAGCTGTAATGGTCTCTCATCTCGAAGTCGTTTTCTTTCTTTCTTTAGTTTGGCATCGACAACGCTGATCAATTAGGAGACGTTAAACTTGCGAATTGCGGCATGTAAAACGCGGAAATACGTGTTACTCCTCGGGCCCTCCCCGGCCGGGAGGGGCGCGGAGGATATTGGACGATCTGCAGCAGTAGTCTAGTCTCCGGAAAAGAGAGAGAGGGGGAGGGGGCGGAGGCAGGTGGAACAAGTTGAGCGGGGGGCGGGGCGGGGGGGGGNTTGACGTCGCAGACAAGGTACGTGTTGCAGGCACTGGATGCGTGTGTGTGGTATCGCGGTGGATGTACATGAGGTTCTTTTGCAAAGAAAGTGTTGGCGTCTTGTAAGTAGTAAATTACGAGTGACATCTTGGAAAGCAACAACTATCGGAAGCCCCATCCCTTTTAGGCTACGAGGATACTTCTGGTCGTGCCATGCCCATGCGTGGGGGTTGTTTCGTCGTCCTACGTGATCCCCCCCCCCTCGTCGAGATAAAGCTTCGCGCTGCGGGGCAACAAGACCATGTTCGAATACCCCGTGGCCCGCCCACCCCACCATGTGTCGTTGACAAACACTCGGCGAGAGGGGGAGAGGTATGAGGTGTGCTTGCTCTGGCCGTGATACATTGCAGAGGGTAGGAAGAGGACGAGTCGAAACGCTCAGGTCTCTCATCCATACCGTGTGCCGTGAGGCGGTGGGGACAGCCGACAACGCTGCGTCCTCCAAGAGTTCAAGAAGAGAAGAGAGATGAGGGAGTCAACACGTCCTTCGATGACACGGTACCACAACATTTGCAAGAGCGTGATAGGCACCCCGCGGCCGAGGTAGAAATACACGATGTCGCTTGCTAGAAGCTGGTTTATTTCTCGGAAGAATACCTCCGACACAGCATGTTGCACGTCTAGCATTTCATCCACGGTGCCCACCCCACCCCCCCCCCGGACAAACCAGCCCCTCTCGTCTTCGTCTTCTTTCCGAGTTTGCGAACCCCCAACACGTACGCTTCTAGGATACCAATGGGAAGGGTCTTCCGAAACTTGTGGGCGGGTATAGTTGCCTTCGATGTCCTGCAGCGCCCCCCCCCACTGTTCCGTCTTCGTTCCGGCAGGAACTCCACGGTTGTCTCGGAAAGCGCGGAAGGAACTGAAACATCGCAAAACAACAACAGTAACACCACACGCCCTCGCTGGTAAGCGAAATGTGTCTATGTTTCGTATACCGATTGCGTCGCACATCACGCTCTCGCACCCACCCTTTCCTAAGTCAGCGTGTCTTAACAATCGGTGTCCACCCGGGACAATCAAGTGTCGACGCCCGGACTCGGAAAAACACAACAGTACCAACGACACCACCACCATCACCAACAACAACAACAACGTCTTCGTCCGCGTGAATGAAATCTACCTCACACATACATGCGTGTTTGCCTGTTGTCTACATGTGTAACGCGCTCACCTAAACCGGAGCGAGTAAGCATAGGCTATAATAGAGGAGCGAGAGAGCAAGGTGCTAGGGTACGACCTATATGCTCCCCCCTCCGACTCTATTATTTCGCCCCCCCCCCGCCCGCCTCTCCCGCCCGATATTATTGAGTGTGACATGACATGGTGTGATACCCGTGAACGAATACGTCTTTCGTCAGACTGTCGGACCCATCCCACGCAACATCCCGAAAAACATGCCGGTCCCGTGTGTATCCTACAGCCCTCACGGAATATTCCAGAAATACTAATCTCCGGTCCTGCTCCCTTTGCATTGGGGGACCAGAAGGAAAACACGAATGCACCTCCGAGAGAGACAGAGACAGAGAGACAGAGAGACAGAGAGACAGAGAGAGACAGACAGACAGACAGACAGACAGACAGAAAAGATTGACGGATACAAGGATAGCACCGCATGGACCGGTTCGCCTGTCTCTCCAAACCACACCGACTCCCAGCAGACAATCACCCCGGGATGCTAGCCACGCGTGGATGCCCCTCGGCTCTGCCTGACTGTTGCCGCACGACTCCTTTGTAGCGCCAAGCCATCAGGATAAGTCTAAGCAGCTTTTAATAGACTATTCGACCATTACAACGTTGACGACACGTCGCCCCTTCCGTTGGCATCTGGCTCGGGGATAGCAGACGCACACGCAGCCCGGCTCTGATGTTTTTGCCGTCCGCAGGGGAAACACCGAAACATACAAACACGAAATTCACAACAACACAGCACAGCACAGCACAACAAGCACCACGTAAGACACCTTGGAAAATATAGTCCACATGCACACGTACACGAAGCAACTGTAAAACGGATGCTAGCCTCTCCACGCCCAGGTCAGCTAGCTCTCAACGTTATCACCCAACTCCGACCCGCCGGTCCTAAACGAAAAACACGGACAGCATTCACGCTACCTGCAGTGGGCGACGCGAGAGCTGGCTCCACCAACTCATCAAAACATTTAATGCGCTTCGTTTGCGAAGTCGCTGTGTTCTCCAACAATGCAACATCACGTGCTTTTGCTTCTACACAGCACCCACCACGCAGCGTGCGTTGTGCCCTACTAGCCACCAGTGTGTGCGCTTTCGACTCGAAGCCAGCGCGTCTGTGTCACAGCACTTGTCCGTTCACGCCAATCCACCCACCGGTCTCTGAATCACAACCAACCACACAACATCAATTCACTCACCGCAACAACAACAAAATCTAGATGTGTTGAGAATATCCCCCTCCCACCCCCACCAGGAAGGAACGATTGGCCATCGATGATCGATCTTGTGGGAACAGTGCTCCGTCTACTCGAGGACGCGTGGTCAGTGGGCTAACCGCTAAGGCATGCGAAACATAAGAGTACGCCCCCCCCACCCCCACCTACGCTCCTGAGCTTTGCCCTGCGACACGTGAGTCTACCAAAGAGCGAGCCCCAAGACATGCGTTCCCTGAGACTCTACTCACCAAACACAATATGTCACGCAATAAGAGTTTCGCCACCGCCATTCCAAGCCTTCCCCCCCCCCCCCCCCCCCCCCCCCCCCCCCCCCCCCCCCCCCGCCCCCCCCCCCCNCCCCCCCCCCCCCCCTTGAGTTTGACAGTCTAGAAGGCAGTCTAGTGACCTTCTCATGAAACAAATAACATTTTCCGATTCGTTCTGCCGACAAAGACAACCCCTTCCCTTCCCTCTGCAGTATGCGGAGCCCCCCCCCGTGTTCCTTGCCACCAAAAACAATCACAACCACATGACCGCCCCTCCCCCCGGTTTCCCGTATCCCCCATGAGTCTAACTCTAGAGAATTCACTGCTGTCACCATCACCAAAAAAACGCCACATTTTTTTTTTAACCACGCCCTTCATTCAACCTACAACACCAACGTGAACACGGACTCGTGTTGCGATGATCCCCACAATAAACCAAAATACCGAGCGCTTTCAACATGGTCCGCCAAGAACCACGTACAACTCCTCTTCCTCCTCCTCCTCCCAATGCATCGCGGGAAGCGTGGGGAGGTTTCTTCTGCGAATGCGAAGCTGCCGCTCGCCGTAAAATTAATGAACATCACCCAAAAAACATGCCGCGGGAGGCGGCTCCCCGCTTCACGGGGGCCGCCGGGGCGGCCGCAAACGCCTCCGCGCCGCCGTCCCCGCTGTCACCCTCGAGAGTCAGCTTCCGCAGCACTTGCTCCCTCAGCCCTGCAGTCCCTCGAGGACCCCCTACCCCCGAGGATTGCCGCGCCCGCCGCTGGCGGCGCGCGAACTTCCCCCTGAGTCGCTCCCGGTCCTCCTGCGAGAGGAGCCCCAGGCCCAAGCCTCCGGGGGCGTCTTCCATGGACCCCCCGCCTTCCCACTCTGCCGCGCGGGTCTTGGGATCGAACCAGAACTCCCGCTGCGAGACAGGGTCTCGCATGCAGAGCCAGTTCTCGCTCAGCGTTTCCTCCTTGTCTTTTTCTTCCCCGGAAGGCGGCGGCGGCGGGGGCGGCAGCGGCAGTTCCTCAGCTGCTTCTTCGCCGGTCTCCTCGTCGATGTCTCTCAGGCGGCGGCGGGAGGGCGAGGGCTGGAACCGGACAAGATGGTCGCGGTAACGGCGTCCAACCGGTCCTTGCTGAGGATGGCCGGCACGGTGGGGAACGCTATGGCCGTGTGGAGGCGAAATTGGCTGCTGCTCGCCGGGGTTGAGACCGTGGCCGTCGCCGCCGCCACCGCCGCTGCCGCTGCCGTTGCCGGCACCGCCGCCACTCCCGACCTTGTCCGTCACAACGGGCGGCGGGGAACGGCGAGGGAGGCGTCTGCCCAGCCGGCCTGTCGTGCTGGGAGCTTGATTTTCGGGAGAGAGGCCTCCGTGTCCCCGTTTGCCCCTCCCAGGTCCCGCAACGTTTGCTGCCCCTGCAACAGCAACGGCAGCGGCGGCTTCGGCCGCTTCGGCCTCCGCCGCGGCTTCCTCCACGGCCTGGCGAACGGCAGCAGTCCTACCGGCCGCTGCATCCGCCACCGCCGCTGCTATCGCTTCCCACGAGGGCGCCAGCCGTGCCCCTCCTGCCGCTGCCGCCCCATACGCGTCCCTGACTATCGTTCTTACGTCGCTACCGCTGCCGCTGCCGCTGCCGCTGCCGCTACCCCTACCTCCCCCGCTGCTCCTGCCGCTACAGCCACCGGTGCTGCTGCTGCTGCTGCTGCTGCCCCCGGCCCCGCCTTTTCCTTCCCCCCCCCCCCCCTCTCCTAGACT